CCCAGCTGGAGTGTCGTGCAGAGAACCATCCTGAGGTCAGCATCAAGCAGCTGGGGCAGGTGGTAGAGTGCAACCCTGACGTGGGGCTGGTGTGTAGGAACCAGGACCAGTTGGGAAAGATGTGCTTCAACTATGAGATCCGAGTGCTGTGCTGTGATTTCCACGTGGGCTGCTCCTCATCCTCCCCTCCCAGTGTGACACATGCTCCTCTTCATACATCATCTCCAGAACCTACTTCTGTTACTTTACCCCAATCACCACACTCCAGCACTGCAGCCTGCTACTGCGTTGTGGCGGACAAGCTCTATCCTGCAGGTAGGTCCATTTTCTTTGTTTCTTGTGTGGACAGCCTGACTTAACGGTCCTATAGGCTGCTTAGGTGGGCACTTTGCTCCTTCCATCAGGATCTGAGTTTTATGTGAGAGAAGTATCTTTTTCAGAGGGTCTTGTCTCCATCATCTGATGGTCAAAAGGAAATGCCTGCTGATGGTTCTATCCAGAGAAGTCTTTCTCCTGCAAGCAGTTTCCTGAGCTTACCCCAAAGGGCCTTTGCAAATTTTGTCTTGTAGGAAGCATCATCTACCAGGAGACAGACCTTGATGGGCACTGCTATTCTGCCCAGTGCACATTGGACTGTCGTGTGGTCAGGCATGATGGCCGTGACTGCTCATCTACTCCACAGACTCCTACCACGCCATCATCCCCTTCTCCAAGCCCTGATCACGGGTGCTCAGATGTGGTTCCCTCACGGGAGGTAACCCCACTTTTTCTTTTCTCCCAGTTGGAGGATAGCTTGGGGCTTAGGGTTTGGAGGCTTAGGGTTCTGGGAAGAGGCTCAAGCAGTCTTCAGGTGACTCTGTGTGCACATGGAGGGAAGATTTAGGGTGCTGATTTGGACTGCCTCGGAAGTGATCTTGAGGTAGCTGTGGTGATGCTGCCAGGTACTGAGTATGCAGGGCTGAAGATTAGTGGCTACTGGTACCAGTGAGACCAGGGCCCGCACGTGGTGAAGATGTTCTCATTGGCCAGGGAGCTGCGTGGGTGTTGAGACTAAGGCCCGGAAATGTAGGCCAGGGAAGTCCTCTGGGATGAGGTGGGAATGGGAAGGAAAGGCTTCCCCCTTCTCCATACCAGGTCCATCAAATCAGTGAGTCCTGGAGCCCACTGCGATCAGCAGTTGCTGTGATGTGCAATGAGGCAGCTAAAATGGAAATGGAGAACCTCACATTGCACTCAGCCAGCACCGGGCCCTCTCCACGGGGACCTCTGAGCCCTGCACTGATTCTTCCAACAGAAAGGCGAGACTTGGAACATGCCCAACTGCACTCAGGCCACCTGTGAGGGTCACAATGTCATCACACTGCACCCACGCAAGTGCCCACCTGCCAAGGCTCTAACCTGTGCCAACGGCTACCCGGCCGTGAAGGTGGTGGACAAGGATGGCTGCTGCCCACATGATGAATGCCAGTGTGAGCTCCTGACTGGGCTGTCAAGGGCTGGGAGGGGCTGGATGGGCATCATGGGGCAGGCAGCTGTGAATGGGCAAGGCTGGATGAGTACGTGATATAGAGCATTCCAGTGGTGTAGAAGACCCTTGGATTGAATTCCAGAGGGACTTCTTGACAGTCAGATGGGTGGTAGGGCCTGAGTTCTGAGCAGGTGCTCACTGTGTGGGAGAGCCAGGGAGTCAGCTCTGTGCCTCAGGACTCACTCCCTGTGGGCAGAGATCACCTGGGACCACACCTGCATGCATGATGTGAGTGGGGCAGGTCTAGGATGTTTCTGTGGATGGAGAGAGGTGACCTGTGGGGATATGGCCACCTTTGCCCTACCAATCACCCTCTTTGCTCAGGTATCTGCAGCGGCTGGGGCGACCCCCATTACATCACCTTCGATGGCACCTACTACACCTTCCTGGACAATTGTACCTACGTGTTGGTACAGCAGATTGTTCCCAAGTATGGCCACTTCCGGGTGCTCATCGACAACTACTTCTGCAATGCCGAAGACGGGCTGTCCTGTCCTCGCTCCATCATAGTCGAGTACAAGCAGGACCGGGTTGTGATGACACGCAAACCTGGGGGTGTTGGCCTCGCGGCCAATCAGGTGGGCACCCCAGGTGTTGAAGTAGGGGTGCCAGCTTTCCTTCATTGACACCTCTCCTGTGTACCACATCCCTGGGGGTCTCTGACTAGACCAATTCTCCATGCAGGTCTTCTTCAACAACAGAACGGTCCAACCTGGCTTCAGGAGCAACGGCATTGTCATCTCTCAGCTCGGCATCAAGATGTATGTGAGCATCCCTGCCCTCGGCGTGCAGGTCATGTTCACAGGCCTCATCTTCTCGGTGGAAGTGCCCTTCAGCAAGTTTGCCAACAACACAGAGGGCCAGTGTGGTGAGCCCCTGCCTGACCCCTGCCCATGTAGTGAGGAGGTTTACTCCAGGGAGGAGCCCTGAGCCTCGCATGCTTGCTGTCCACAGCCTGGTCCACAGCTGAGCAGACACCTGGCCATCTTTGGAGATCAGGCACTGGGAGGGGACAAGATGTTGGCCGGCTTCAGGGCTCACTGCTGGGGACTGTCCTAGGAAGTCAGCCCTAACTCCCAGCTCAGGGCTCTATCCCCATTGCCCTGACCCCAGCACCTATCCTCAGGGACCTGCACCAATGACCAGAAGGATGACTGCCGCCTCCCGGATGGGGCTGTGGTCGCCTCCTGCTCTGAGATGTCTGACCACTGGAAAGTGACCAGTCCTGACCAGCCATCCTGCCACAAGCCACCCCCTACCCCCTTGCCAACCACCCCCACCAAGGGCAGGATCAGGCCCACTCCATGCCCAGAAGCACCAATCTGCCATCTGATTCTGAGCGAGTAAGACACCAGGCAGGAGTGAAGGGGGAGTGGGGTGACAGAAGGGGATACAGGATTAGCGTCGCAGGGTGAGAAGGACCATTTGGGAGGGTTGGTTGGGGCAGGTGGTGACAGTGTGCTCTGCTGGCTCACTCGCTGTTCCTCTGGGCAGTTCTACCAAGTGACCAGGTGTGCAGGGCCATGCAGGCCAGCGGAGAATTTGCAGAGCTGTGTATGTCACAATGCTCAGCACACCTGTCCTCTTCTAGGCAGGTGAGGGTCCCAGGTGTGTCCCAGACTCTGCAAGCATTGGGTCTAGGGCCCTGGGCCTGGGAGTTCTCCTGCAGATGGCTGGGGCCATGCCCACATGCCTGTCCCCTGTGTCCTCAGCGTCTTCGAGCTGTGTCATGAAGTCATCCCTCCCATACCATACTACGAGGGCTGCGTCTTCGACCAGTGCCATGTGACAGACTCAGACGTGGTGTGCTCCAGCCTGGAGCTGTACGCTCTGCTCTGCGCGTCACAGGGCAGGTGCATCGACTGGAGGCCCTACACCAACCACACCTGCCGTGAGTGCCATGTGGCAGTGGGCGGGGCAGAGGGCGTGGCTGAGAGGAAAAGAGCTGCTGGTTAGTTAGGGTACTGTGGCCAGGGATGTAGGGTGGGACTCGCAGATTATGGCAGGACAGGACTGTGGTGACAGGTGAGGGTGAGGTGTCAGGTGAGCCGAGCTTGAAGGATTTGGAATGCAGGCTTCATGTCTGGACTGGTGGCCTGGGCCCAAGTCTGCTCCAGGCAAACCAGAGCAGGATGAGGTTGCGAGGCTACACCCTGAGTTGTTCTCACTGAGAACCCCAGACTCTCACTATGGGCTTCTCTCTCCTTGTAGCTCTCACCTGCCCTGCCAACAAGGTGTACCAGCCCTGTGGTCCGGTCAGCCAGACCTACTGCTATGGGAACAATAGTGCCAGTGTTCTGTGCGTACCTGACCCCACTCCATCCCTGTGTCTACTTGTTCCCCTCCCCCTGTGTGCCTGTTCCCCTCCCCCCGTGTGCTCCTGTTCCCCTCCCTCCCCCTGTGTGCACCTGTCCCCCTCCCCTCACCCTGTGTGCACCTGTTCCCCTCCCCTCCCCCTGTGTGCACATGTTCCCCTCCCCCTGTGTGCACCTGTTCCCCTCCTTCCCCCTGTGTGCACCTGTCCCCTTCCCCCTGTGCACACCTGTTCCCCTCCCTCCCCCTGTGTGCACCTGTCCCCCTCCCCTCACCCTGTGTGCACCTGTTCCCCTCCCCTCCCCCTGTGTGCACATGTTCCCCTCCCCCTGTGTGCACCTGTTCCCCTCCCCTTCCCCTGTGTGCACCTGTTCCCCTCCCCCTCCCCCGTGTGCACCTGTTCCCCTCTCCCATCTCTGGTGTGCACCTTGCCTCCCTCCTCCGCCCCCCCCATTTGTTACTCCTCTTTCTTCTCCAAGCCCCAGTGATACCTACTCCACTCCTGCTCCCTGTCCCTAAGAACCCAAAGGAGAGGAACAATGTACCCCAGGACACCCCAGGCCTCCTGCCAAGGCTCAGAGGGGTGACTATGCTGTTTTTAAGGCAGCTGACCAGTCCACTCCTGTGTCCCTGCAGGGCTGTCCAGGACACTGGCTCCTCCATGGAGGGCTGCTTCTGCCCACCAGGCATGATACTATTTAGCGAGAACTCTGATGTCTGCGTGCCCTCAGACAACTGCTCCTGTATGTCTGGGACACTGGGGCAGTGGGTGGGGTGGCAGGGACTTTGCCAGGACTTGGGGTTTCCTGGGACCCTGATGCCAGACCTTCCCCTTAAGGATTGGGATTTGGCTGCTGGGAAACACCCTCACTGGGCTATCTCTTTCCAGGGTGCCTGGGGCCCAATGGGGAGCCTGTGGAGGTGAGTGGAGATGTGGGCTTTGCTGGGATAAGAACTCTGGAACCTAGAACTCAGTGCAGGGAGCCCAGAGGAGGATAGCAAGGTCCAAGCCCTCCAACAAGGCTGCGCCCACCATGCCACCCTGCCACCCCCTGTGCTGTGCACCCTGGGATGGCTGTGTTCATCCTTCCACGGGATTCTCCTGTTCTGCTGGGCACAGTAACAGAATGACAGTGACAATGTGTGGGGGAGACATGGGTACAATGACAGTAGGTGCCAGGGGACAGTGACAACCTGCAGCTGGAAGACGTGATAGTATATGACAGGGGGCTGAGACAGGGGGAAGACATAGGGATAGTGACAACCTGTGGCAAGGGGCAGTGATAGTGTGCAGCTGGGGGACAGTGACAGTGTGTGGCAAGAGACTGCGATGGAGGAGGGCACAGAGCCAGGGCCAGTGGTGGGGTTGAGCTGCCCACCTGAGACACCCTGGATCACAGCCTCTGAAACCAGCCCCTGCCCCGCCTCTGTGATGTCTCCCACACTGGGAGGAACTCCCCCCTGTTTTCTCTGGGGGCTCCTACTTCTGAGGACCTCAGAAGCCTCCAGGTCAAGCTCAGCAGAGGGGCTCTTTGCCTCTCCCTTCAAGAGCTACAGCTGCTCCCAGAGCACCCACCTGCTCTCCTCATCCCCCTCCCCCACAGCCGGGCCAGACCATTGTCACCAACTGCGAGGAGTGCACCTGTGATGGCAGCACACAAAGCCTGAGTTGCCAAGCACAGACCTGCCCCCCACTGCCCAGCTGCTCTGCACCTGGGCATGTGCTGGTGCCTGAACCACTGCAAGCTGCCCAGTGCTGTGCAGAATACCACTGTGGTGAGCCCGGGTGGACATTGGACGTGGGGTGGTGGGTCCAGGCCAAGGTGGATAGTGGGCAGGGCAACCCTCTGCCAGGGCACATGGTCAGGCAGGGGTCACCTGGGACACCAAGGTGTGACCTCCTGTAATGCAGAGGGCCCAGCTCCCCCACCCACCCCACTGCAGCCTCAGCTAGTGACCCCAACTGGGCATGCCCTAGGATTCTGAGGATTTGAAAATGGGAAGGGCTTCCCCTTACACCTGTCTGTGAGCTCTGTGGTGACCAGTGCCTGGAGATGCTCCAGGGAGGCAGCACAGACCCTGAGGACCTCTCTACACCCTCCTCCCCACAGTCTGCAACACCAGCCTCTGTCCCCAGCCTGGCCTCTGCCACAACAACTCCCACCCAGTCACCAGTCACAAGGACGGGGACTGCTGCCCCAGCCAGGAGTGTGGTGAGTGTCGGGGCTCCTAGGAATTGGGGAGCTGGGGTGCAGAGCAGAGGCTCACCCGGCCCACCACTGAGCCTCCAGCTTGGGCAGGAACGGCCCAGAGTGGGGGCTGAGCGAAGGCATGGGGTAGGCAGCAGGTCTGGATGGTCCAAGTCTGTGATGGATGCAGAGTGGAGGCAAGGGTGAAGTGAGCTTAAGCTTTGGGGTGGGGATGTGAGGCAGGTCAAGGTGAGGGTGCACTGAGGTCCTTCCAAGGCCAACGCTGAGCAGTATCTCTTTCTAACAGTTCTTGATGTCTGTGTGGTCAACGGCACTGTGTTCCAGGTAAGACCCAGCTGCAAGGAAGCCCACGCAGTGGGAGGTGGAGTTATGCGCCCCTGGCTCTGTGGGATTTAGGGGGCTCATCCCTGGAGGAGTGGTTTCTGCTTGGCTGTGGGCTCCAAAGACCAGGACACCCAAGGCTGAAGAGGGTGGGGCTTGCCTCGGGCCTCTTTTGAGGACAGGGGATCCAGAGATGCTGTCTGTGGCCAAGAGACACCCAAAAGGCACAGTCAGTCTGAGAGGTGGGACCAGAGGGGTGGAAATGGTCTGTGTAAGGAAGAGGGGACAGAGGTGGGTGCTGACTCTGCCTCCTGGGATATCCCTAGCTTGGTGCTGTGGTCTCCTCGAGCCTGTGTGAGAAGTGCACATGTCAGGCAACAGGTGGCCCCTCAATGGACCCATTCGTGATCTGTGAGACACAGATCTGTGAGCGGAGCTGCCCTGTGGTGAGTGGACCTCCCTCCCTCCACTCCCCCAGCCCTCCTGCTCCCTCCTCACCCCCATGATGTGCCCTCCTCTCTCCCACCCCTCTTACTCCTGTCTCCCACCCCGTGAATTCATCTTCCTCTACCGTCCACCGTCCTCAGCCTCCACAGGTCCCCAAGATCTGGGGCAGTCACGGGTTCAGGTGATGTGTTGCTACTCCACAGGGCTTCGAGTACCGCGTGCAGCCGGGTCAGTGCTGCGGTTCGTGCGTCCAGGTGGCCTGCGTCATGAACACCAGCGACAGCTCTGCACACCTCTTCTATGTAGGTAGCGGTTGCAGCAGGGCTGCTGGTGCATCCTGGGGTGCACCCTGCGAGGGCAAAGCGAAGTCCCACTCTGGGACGCTCCAGGGCGCAGACTCAGTGGGCACCTGGGGAGCCACAGGTGGAAGGCATTTGCCTCGAGTTGCCTAGCATCAGTCTGCTGCTGACGGAAAGCTTTCGGAAGCTAGAGGATGCCAGCTGGGGCTCTCTGGGATGGGCGGGGCATTCCCACGGGGGGGGCTTTCTCCCTGGTGGGTGGGGCGCTCACCACCATGGGCGGGGCGCCCAGTTCATTGGTGGGAGGGGCCTCCTCACAGCCTGGTGAGACCTGGTCGGATCCTCGGAACCGCTGTGAGACACACGAGTGTGAGCGACACAAGGACGGAATCGTGGTGGTGACCACTAGGAAGGCGTGCCCTCCACTCACCTGCTCTCAGGTGCGTTCTTGAGCCCACATCCCACCTTGCCTTGAGCGGACTTAGCCAGCCGGCAGAGGGTGGGGGAGTGCACCTCCCTCCTCTGGAGCCTGGCACTGCGTCGCCATCCCTCACCCCGATGCAGCAGGCTGCGCAGTGGCCCCTAGGCCCTCACTGCGTCCCCTATTCCCCACATAGGACAAAGCCCAGCTGAGCGAAGATGGCTGCTGTCGCTTCTGTCCCCCTGAGCCAGCCGCTAACAGTGAGTGAGGCGTCTGTGGACTCCCACGACCTGCAGGGGAGCCTGAGCCCGGTGGAGGGACAGGGGGCAGCTGCACTAACCCTATCCCCCGTGCTCACCAGGGTCCACTTGTGCCGTGTACTACAAGGAGGAGGTTATCCGGGAGCGTGGCTGCAGCTCCAGCCAGCCCATACTCCTCTCCTACTGCAAAGGCAACTGTGGAGATACCAGCTCTATGTACGTGAGCCCTGGGTGCACCCTTGAGCATCAGCGGGCTGTTGAGTGTGGGATCGATCAGGTGCTGTTGGCAGCGCGGCCCGTCGGTGTCACCCGGGAAAGGAGCCCCAGGCACAGAGAGGGAGTGGACCACAAGAAATAGTAGGGACGATCTGGAGGCTTTGCACCAAGGAGTGGGACCTGGGAGACAGCAGGGGGCTCAAACCCTGTTTGGGATTAGATTCTATTCTGTTGTTTACTGAGACGCTGGCCTCTCTTTCCTGTTGGTGCTGGATGGAGCAGTGTCCACTAGTCACCTATGGAGAGCTCTTTCTGGGGCCACCCAGCCCAGGTGGAAGCCTCAACTCTGACCGTTGGCACATGCTGTGGTTGTGGCAAATGCCCTCAAGCCCATCACCTGGCCTGGCACAGCCCTGTGAGCATTATCTGAGCCAAAGCAGGCACCAGCCTCCCTATAGCACCCATGCTAAGCAGCCGCTGCCCGCAGGTACTCCTTCAAGACCCACATGGTGGAGCACAGGTGTCTGTGCTGCCAGGAGCTGCGGACATCTCTGCGGAACGTGACCCTCAGCTGCCAGGGCGGCTCCCCTCGGACCATCAGTTACCGCCACATCGAGGAGTGTGGCTGCGAGGGCCCCAGCTGCACCACACAAAGCAACCCTGGTCACTCAGAGGAGTCCCAGGAGAGTGCAGAGGGGGACAGCCAGGAGCCCAAGGCCTCCTGGGCACATTGACCTCCACGCTACTCTGCCCCCCATGCATGTGGCCGTGGATCGCCCCCGCCCCCAGCCTCAAAACCAGTGGCATCAGAGCCCTATCCACGGTGACTATGTGTGACCCTTTCTCTCAGAGCAGCTGCCATCTGCTTGCGCGTAACCCACAAGCTGAACCCTGGGGCGGCTGGGGCTCCTCTGGCCTTGTGTCCAGCATCATGAAAGGACCCACCAACGTCAGCCACTGTGGTGGGACTGGGCCCTCCCCGGCCAGCCACCAGAGGCAGAACCTCATGCTACCTCGGCCCTGGCCCATGCTCCCCCCCAGAACAGTCAGTTTCATAAACACGGTGAAGCATTTTGCAATCCAGGACTCTGTGTGTTTTTTCAGTGCGTCAGTACATCTGTGGCAGGTGGGACAGAGAGTGAGGGGAGGGCTTGGGAGAATCAGTGCCAGAACGCCATGGAGCCCAGCAGGTTCTGGCGTGTTCTAGGAGGTAGCTTGGCTGGCAAAGGGTTGGGGACCTGCAGGTGGTTCAGTACTGACAACCTAGGACATTCTGGACCTCAAGATCCTGCCTGCCCTCCTGCTTCTGTCCAGAGGGCCACAGAGGAACTCAGGGGCTTGTTGAGAACACTGGGTCCAAGGTAGAGTGATGGGCAGATGTCTTCCTTGGACGTTCCAAGCCCTTCATTGTACAAAGGGTGAAGGAAGGCTCAGAGAAGGTACACCAGCTGGAGATAATAAGGAGCTGACCTCCTGTGTCCTAGGCTGGGTGAGGGTGTCTCCCTCAGGCAGTGGGACCCGGTGTTCATGATTTAGCTCTTACAATGCCTACATCATTAGCAGACAGACCTTGCGCTGGCTCAGGTGATGGCGAGGCTTGGGGGCAGCAGCTTCAGGGATGGCCCATGTTCCTGGCAGCCACCACCAGGTGTCAGCACCGATGGGACCTCCTGGGCTTAATCCAGGTGCTGGAGTTCTGGTGGCAGAGCCCAGGAGTCAGGGTCAGTGCTCATGTCCAAGAGGGCTGGGCCACTCCCCAAGGAGCTGAGGCTCTGAGAGGGAAGGCGCCTGTCCACAGGCAGAGCTGCAGGAGCCTTGGGAGGAGGAAGGACAGTTTATAAGGTCCAATGTTCAGGGTGGTTCAGGTTTGGGGAAAAAGCCTCTGCTGTCTCCTGCCTTTACTACCCCCACGTCCACCTCCCATCTCATGAATTGTCAGAGGTTGAGAAGATCGGTTGAATCTGTTTTTCGCACAGGAGGCTCTGGTTGTGCTTGCTGCTAAGGGGCTACTAAAGGGTCCAAGGAATGTTTGGGAGTGCTGCCTGCAAGGGTAAAGCCCCAATTCTCTGGAGTTATGTCCCAAAGGCCCTGTCCACCAGCAGCTCAGCCCCTGATAACTCTATTATTGGCTTCAGACAGCGATAGTCAGAGAAAACTGGAGAAGGGAGATTTGTGCCCCCTGTTAAGGTTCCAAGGGGGCAGGGGGCACCCTAGGTCAGTGAGCAAGAGACTTCATCAACATTGCTCATGGATCAAGTGGAAAAGGCCAGACTGCACCCCTGAGCAGTAGTCACTAGTGCAAGGTGCATGGAGCCTCTGGAAGGGAGCAGCTGTTCCCAGGAAGGAAGTCTATGGGAGCTGCCTGTACAATGACCCAGTGACCTTGTGGCCAGCGGGTGACACTCTAATCGGTACTGCTGGCCTAGTCCCCTGCCGCCACCCCCCTGAGCGGATCAGGTGTCTGAGTGAGCCGCCTCTTCCTCTCCAGGTGAGGTAGACTCACAATGACTAATCCCTTCCCTTCTCCTGCAATGAGGACGGGCTGACCCCCAAGTCTTCTGTTGGCTGCATTACCTTCCTGCCTGGAATCAAGAGCTGGTTACAGGGAGTAACCAGATCACAGCATGGGGCCACAGCAAAGCAGGCCAGGTTGTGCAAGACCAAGTTTCCCAAAAGAGTTCTGAAGCTGGGTGTGGCTCACCGTCCAGCAGCCACCATGTACCTCTGCCCCTTGTCTGGAAACTCAACCCAAAAAATACAAAGCGTGAAAGGGTGGGAGGTAGGTGATGTCTAGCTGGTCCAGAAGTGAAGAAGCCAGATGGAAAGGGTCTCCAAGGCCAAGTTCAGGGCTGGCTTGGGCAGCTTGCAGCTCTCTCCTGCTGCATCTGTGGTCCTGGAAGTGGACTCTGGGATCTGGCCTTGGGCAAGACATGCAGTTTCCCAAGCTTACGTCTGCCTGTTGGCATCTGGGTCCTGCCCAGTCTGATGGAGGGTGTCTGCTTTCATGTTTGGGGACCTACATGAAAGGACAGCTTCTGAGAGGTTTAGGACTATAAGCAGGATGGGTAGGTTGGGGTAACAGCTCCTCCTGACCCCTCACTAGAGAAAATTCTTCCCCATCCATGCCACTTACAGCTTGGCAGACTCCCATCTGGAACCTGATTCACAGGAGAAGGCCCAGGACCTGATAGCAGAGCTGACTGCCGGGGCCCAGTGACCAGTCCTGTCTCAGACATAAACTAGCCTCAATTCAGTTTTCCAGCCACAGACTTGGGCCTTGGTAACAGTCCTCAGGTCGCAAGACATGCAGGGCACCTACCTGACTCAGAGAATGGAGACTGGGCAATGTGGCCTTGGGGACCTGCAGACTAAACCTGGAAATGAAGGAGTGGGGAGGTTTTAGAGACTTGAGGTCAGGAGTCAGTGTGGATAGGAAGGCACCTAGAGTGCTAACTACCCATGCTGGGCATAGGTTCTCCTGGACACTGCAACCTCAGCCTCTGCCCTACTAACGTGGTGACCAAAATGGGTTTCCCAGGTGGCAAGTTGATGGCAACCACCAGCTGTGTACTCATAGTGATCTGGGTTCTCTGAGAGACCTTGACTGCATCACCTGATAACCATCAAACACATCTTGAGGGGAAGGAGACTTCCCAGGAAACAACAGCTACTGCCATGGAAAATTGTTAGGAGTGAATTGTGACCTCAATATCATGTGGAAGTTCTAAGCCCTATACTTGCGAATGCAATCCTGTATTTGGAAGCAGCAGTTGTCTTTGTTATGTTGATGGGGGCATACTGGAGTAGTTGTGTGCCATCCTATTAGATTAAACTTGTAGCTGACCCTACAGCAGGTCTTCAGAGGCTGTAAATCTCATGGGAAGAGATTGCTCATCTTTCTGCCCTGGAGCTGCTGGTGGATTAGAACCTAGTGTCTTTGGGTGATATCTTTACTCTCCAGGCCACAAAAAACTCCCTTACCAGAGTAGGGTGGGTCCTAAATCTAATAACATCTAAGTGGCATCATAAAAAGAGTAGTAGAATGATACTACAGGCTCACATAGACAATGGAGGAGAGTGGGCAGACAGACAACATTTGAGTACCTAGTCACAAGCAAAGGAATGCCAAGATGTACCAGCAGGTACCAGAAACCAGGAGAAAAATCACAAGGAATCAAGATGGTTGAGAACAAGATTTGGACTTATAGTTGCCAGAATTGTAATATATGGAGTTTCCATTTATTAAAGCCAGCTACTTAGGATATTGCTTGCTAGATCAGCCCTTGGAGACCAAGATAAAAACCTTACAGAATCGGAAAAACCACAGGACTCTAAGGAGCTTCAGAAACCTTGAAATAACTCTTTTCAACATGCTTGAAAAACGCCATGAAAACTGTATCAGCCTTTCCCCAAAGGCAAAGTTTCTTACCATAGCAAAGGGGCACTTGTACCAGAAAGTGAGACCAGTAACATTACGCATAAAGACATCCCCTGACACATTTATAATTTAGTGCAACTGGGGAGGAACTCTGAGGGGCTGGGCCAACCACTAGAAAACCACACAATAGGACAAAAATCTACCCAAAAAAAGTGAATTTTGAAAGAAAAAGAGTCACATTGACCAATGACTTCTTGCCAAATCATGAAGAGAACAAAAAAAATTCAAATCACATGAGACCATCAAAACTAAACCATAAGGAGACCATAAAAGCTCAAACCACAGCAATAACCAACCCAGCATGAGATAAAAACCCTCACACTATAAGATTACCAAAACCCAATCATGAGAAAAACGCAAACCATAAAGAGACCAGAAAACCTCAAACCATGACAGGATAGCCTAAACACAAACAGTATCAGACCACCAAAACATAAAGTGTGAGAGATTACCAAAATCCAAGTCATGGAGAGACCAAAAAAACCCAAAACACAGTTCACTGTTGTGTGCAGTTGAGTAGAAACCAACTCATAGCTGACCCTCCAGTGGCTTTTCAGAGGCAGTAAATGACCTTTGGGGAGATTGCCCTTCCTTTTCCTGTGTAGCAGCTGGTGGATTCAAACCTTGTCTTTGGGATTGCAGAGCAGCTTCCCCCCCCCCGCCCCCCAGAGAGCTCTCTCGAAGACCACTATAACACAAATCATGGGTAGACCACTAAAAACCCCTAACAATGGGAAGACTATCAAAACACAACCCACTGAGATCACTAACATCTATACCACAGGAAGACCACCCAAACCCAAACCATATGAGACCAGTAAAGCACAAATCACATGGAGACCAACAAAAGCACAGGCAGGAGAGGGAGATAAATTTAGGAAACTCATTGTTAGAATAATGATACAGAGTTTAAAAAAAAAAAAGTTAAAACTGAGTCCACAGACTCCTCTCAGTCAATAAAAAAGCCTTTCAAAGTTTTTAATAACTAAAATGGGACTGGAAAGGCTAAAAAGATAGACAAACAGGCCCTGTTGCTGGCCAGAGATATGTAGGGACTCCCTCACAGCAACTCTAGGATTCAACATCAGTACTGGAGACCACCACTGCCCGGGGGTGACCAAAGACTGAGCCTCATCAGGAAAGGCTAGGTTATTAGAAGGCAGAGTGTCCAGAACATCCTGAAGTAAGGCATGCTGTTGACTGCCTTCAAAGCCAGCCACAGCACCAGACTTCTACACTAGCAACAACGAGAGTGCCAGCAAGATCCAATTGATGAGGCCCAGCGAACTGTACTGT